CCCCAAAACCCCAAAACCCCAAAACCCCAAATACGAACGTCTTGTTGAAATATTTATATGAAAAATCCATTAATGAAGGAATATGAGGACCTTGATAAAATACCAGAGTCTTCAGGTAAGAATGATAATCAGCAGACTATGGAGATGGAAGAGATTGACCAGAAAATAACCCTCTTTGATAGTTACGTTCTTGCAATGATGATGCTTAATAATGTTACTTCTCAATGAGTTTCCTATCTTCCAGCCTATGCTAGCCCAGGTGATGAACCCTTTACGAATCTAGAGCTAGACCTAGGCCTTACCAAAACTCAGTATGGGATTATGACCGGAGTCACCTTTGCATTGATCAATGGAGTTTTCTCATTAGCTAGCGGAGTCATTGTAGATAGGCTATCTCGGAAATACACCATGATTGTTGCAGGAATATTCTGGGGTGGTCTGACAATTGCCCAAAGCTTTGCTATCAACTTTGTTACAATTTTTATACCAAGAATAGTTATGGAAATATCAGTTACAGCATGAGGCTCTGTTGCTATCAGCATCATTTCGGATTACTTTGCTCCCAAATATCGAGCAAGGGCCTCTAGTATTTACATGCTTGGACTTTACATTGGAGTTGCTGGAAGCTCTCTTGCTTTAATCTCTGTCAAAAATATTGGTTGGCGAAATACATACAGAATAATTGGAGGAATATCTCTTTTGGTCACCTTTTTCACCATTTTCATCTATGAACCAGTTAGAGGAAGCTATAATAATGCTGCTAAAAAGAACCAGCTTAAGGAACTAACTAAATCAGTATCTAAATGTTCAAGACTCTATAAGAGTGCTAAAACAGTACTAAGTAGCCCTCTGTTTCTGATCTTATGAGCTGCATCTGCTTTAAGATTCTTTGGAGGATATGCCAGCGGATTTTGGCAGTCTAAATTTTTCCAAAATGAATTCAAGGAGTATCAAAATGAATATTCCATATTAAGCGCATTGACTATTTTAATCCTTGGGGTGTCAGGATCTTACACTGGCGGATATTTATCCGATAAGTTCTCTAAAACCAGACCTCAACTACAAGCCTTCATGGGAGGTATTGGAGCATTAATTGCATTTCCATTCACTGTAGTTGCATTCACTCTGAGTAGGAACTTCTGGCTTTCGATCTTCAGCAACATGGCTGCATATTTTCCTTCTGAAATGTGGTTAGGCCCAACTTACGCATTAGTCCAAAATATGTTTCCAGCAGAGATAGTAGGAACAGCCATTGCTATCCTAAGTTTCTTTGGAGGTATTGCAGGAGCTATCTCCAATATTTTGCTAGGAGCTCTAGGAGATGCACTAGAAACTGAGGATAATGGTAGAATTGCTGGGTATTTACTCACTGTATGATTTGCAATCTCATATATCGGCTGAGCTCCTCTGTTTATAATAGCTGGAATTCTGTACAAAAGATTTATAATAAAAGAGCGTAAAGAGTCTATTGCTGAAATTAAAGACTCTGAGATTCAAGAAATTAACAAGTTCAGTGAAAACAGTAGTAATTAGCACCTGTGGTTACTTTTATAAAGTACCTAAAATCAGATAAGTTATAATCATAGAACTATCAACATGAATCTTCTATCATGGGGTTTTGGGGTTTTGGGGTTTTGGGGTTTTGGGGTTTTGGGGTTTTGGGG